TCGTTAGGGATCGTAGAATATACTAACGGAGAAACACCAATTAGTCCACAGCAAAAACTATCGATTCCCCTAGACATTTATCATTTTAGAGACGTTTTGGGTTCATTGCTATATTTAATCAAAATTTAATAATCTGAACACGTTTAGACAGTTTTCGTGTAACCGAACGCGTATAAAGGCTCACAGTTCATATCAAGTTAGTGGGCTTTATACTTAGGTGATAATTAATTTATTTTATTATTAATAATTTTTAAATTTTTTTATAAACGATTTATTTTAACAATGTATTTAGGTTCAATTACACAGACAACAAAGAGTTGTAAAGCTTTCCATTCAAAATTTAACGGTATGTTTTATTCTGCTCATCCATATATATATATATCTATCTACAAATTTATTGATATACTTAAAAACATACAAAATGATACATACATAAAAAACCGCAGCAGTAATGAAAGAAAATAAATAAGACGTGAAATATGTGAAAACAAGAATTTTTAAGAAAACAAATGATTAAATACGACGTGAACGAAATAACACGTTTTTATTACGTCAAAACTGTACGTTCAAATTTTTACCGAGCCATAAATAATACTATAATAACATATATATGAGTATAGTTTACATACTTATATGTAACTTATATTTTTGGAATTTTTTTTACTTATTCTTTTATTTTTATATTTAACGACGAAAACAATATTTTTGATGAACATGATTACAAAACGATAAAAAAAAAAATTAACCTACCTTTAAGAATATAATATATAATGTTTCTATTGACAGTCCTAAGTCTGCATTAAATGGGAAGGAAAATAATGTATTTACATCGGACGCAATTAGTATAGTTGTTGAATATTATCGGGATGCAATTAGTACAGTTGTTAAATTTTATCGGGATGCAATTCGTATGAAAAAAGGATCTTGGGACGTAATTCGTTTGCTGAAATCTGCTCATTAACTATTAGATATGGAGAATAAAAATGAGCTTAAGCGATTATAAAGTATAAAAAAAAATTAATAAATTATAAATATTTATTAATTACAAACAAAATTGAAAACTGACCAATTAATTTGATAAATTAATTATATTGAAATAAATTAACTACCCATTCTTATTAATGACATATTGAGTAAACAGAAATATGCGTTTTATGTTAAACATAATGACATTTGTGTTACTGCGTTGATCATATACGTTATGACAATAAGCTATAGTTAACGGTTTGATAAAGTATATTTCTATAAATATAGCTTATATATAAATGTTCAAGTTTGAAATAAACCAACAAGATATTTTTTTATTTAATTTTTTAATTTTTTATAACAAACATACATAAAAATAGTGAAATACTACTATTAATTCTTTACGAGTATCTACATCGCTTAATAAAATAAACTTTTGTGGTAATGGTAAGTACCTTGAGAATATTTTATTTTTAATTCTCTTATGCACTTCATAAAATCCATCTCCTAATCGTAATTTTTAATGGCCATTTTTTTCTAGACATTAAATTTTAAGTTTGACTTGTATTTACTTGTATTATAATAAAAAGACGATTTTAATATACGGTAAAAATAGTAGTGGCTCTATAGATGATCTCTGTTTTTTCAATTGTCCTTAAAATATGATGTGATCTTTATGAAGATAAAATTTTTGGTATAACTGAAATGTTTAGTTTCACTTAGGTTTAGGATAGTAAATTATTTTTATCTTACGAGGTTCTTTTAAAAGGAAAATAAATGTTAAGTTAGTAAAAAATAAAATAAAAATACTACTCCGTTCTGAAAATTGTGCTTGTATGACATTGTAGATATTATAGTAACTTAATAATAAGATACCATTTAAATATAATAAATAAAAAGACATTAAAAGTATTTCTCAAAAAAATTTGTGATGTTAAAAATAGGCCTTATAAAAAATTTTGATCATACCTTTTCCTTGCTCAAAGTATTCTTAAACTGTAAATGAGTTACGACAGAAATTTGTTTCTTTAGCAGTTTTTTAAGTTACTTTATGTACTTTATGTGCTTGATACATTGTAAAGAACTATTCTTTACTACAATTTATATAATATTATATACCAACCTATATTCATTTGTACTGTTGCTAATATAATAATGGTACCGTAATAATAATAATAATAAGCATATTTAATAATTTTAAATTAAATTGAAAACTATAATTAGTCTATATTACCTGAATTATTTTAAGCAACGTACACATGTATGTAATTATTTATCACTATAATAATTAAGAGTGGCATGACATAATGCAAGCTATATAGTTGAAATTTAATGAAGAAATCCTTTAATAAACATCATTCTAATGAAAATTATTTGAAGAAATCATGTTTTTAATTATAAATTTCTTAATAAACAATTATATTATTACTTTCGTTTTCATTTTTAGTAGTAAAATATGTAAACTTTCCTGAGATTTATGTCAATAATTTTTTTAAATGTATACAATGGATATGATCGTAATTTTTTATTACATTTAAATTTGAATTGATTATTGGTCATTTTACGAATAAAAATAAAAAGTACATCTTAAGATCTATAAAAAATTACGTTGAATTCAGTAAAAAAAAAAAAAACATTAAAAAAAGTCCAATGAGATGATAAAATACAATAATAAAGGATATAAAAATGAACAAATTTGTAAAAAAAAAAGAAAATGGTACAAAAAACTTAGATCGAATTCAAGTAAAATAAATTCCAAAAATAATTTAATTATTATTTTAGACATTAAGATGTGTTATACAATAACAGTTTGTAATACGCTTAATACATTATTAAAGAGAAAAAACTTTTATTTAAAAATGAGGTCGCCCACAGTGTGGATGCTAAAAGAGTTTGCATATTATTCAATATACAAATTTATCAGATAATTTGAATTTACAATACAAATAAACTTATGAAATTTTTAATAATAATGGGTAAATTTAACAAACAATAAAATTAAATATTTAAATAAGATTTGCGTGTAGTAAATAGAGAATAACAATCTTATTATTACGAATATAAATGATATAGCTAATATAATAATATAATATAAATAATATAATGAATACAATAGCTTATCGTGTACATATATTTTAAAATAGCTATGCATATTTTGACAAGGCCTTCAGTAGCGAGGTTGTAAGATTTGAAGAATAATTTTAGGAACCCTGAGGCTTTACCTCGAACTCCGAAATTCCTATATTAATAAGCAGTTTATATTTCTTATTATGTTTTTATGATTTTGAAAAATTTGTTTGAGATATTTCATAAGTACATTTTCCAAGAATACAAGTGCACGTAAACACAATCATGAAAAACATTGTTGCATGGCACAATATTGGGTTAAATACAAGAGAACAGTTTTTATATTGAATACAAAGGTTTTTTCGTACAAAAACTGTATAATTTCGTGTACACCATCGATACTGCACCATAGTCACGATGTTTTATTGGTTTACCCTGGGAAAAGTTGCTGTTTTTGAAACTTCAATAAAAGCTGTCGGTCGGTATTTATTTTCTTGTGTCAGCGTATGTATTTTTTTGAATTTCTATAACGCACGTAAGAAATGTATTGAATGGATCGGATAACTCGATCTCTGCCATGGGTGAATATAACATGGGATACATCGTCGCTAACGCTCAAAAATCCTAGGCTTACGACGGTCAACCTTGCACATCAGAATACATAAATGAAACGTGTGAAGAGTATATGTATAACATATGAATAGAATACTTTTTAAACAGCTGCTCGTAGACGTGTTTTGAGAAGATATATTGTGTTAGAGGTGGTGGTTAGGAACAAGTAGTTGGACGTTGGTGTGTTGATGGGTGGGAGGTGGGTAGGGACGGTATGCGAGGCCGGTAAATGTGTGTGAAAAGGTAAAGCGCTGGACTTATGGTGACTACGAGAACGGTGTGCAAATCGTTCGCGATGGGTGTTATGGTGAGGCGTGGCGGCGGTTAATGTACTGTTCGCCGGCGCATTGTTTAAATATATTAAAATATATTTTATCCGTGTCGACGAGAAGACGTACGGCGTGTCTCAGTCGACTATGACAGCGCACTGAAAGGAAAATCTTGGCCATAATTACCAGAACGTGATTCACATTACAGGAATTGTTGGTTGCATCCCGACAACGGTATGATTAGTTGAAATCACAAACTTTAGATAAAGTGGCTTAGCTGTTGGATATTCTTTCACTTTGATACGTCATACCAGTATTTATGTTCTATAAGTTTGATCGACTGTATCGATTGATATAAAACTTTCAATCGTTTATTGATAAATATTACGAAGTTATTTTTTCAGTGAGGCGAAACGAACGGTCATCCGCGGCGACCGGCGATATCCGGGGTGGTCCGCTCGATACTTCTAATCAGGCGTTCGGTCTGGACGGAAGATAACGGCAGCAGTGAAAAGGACGAAATAAATAAAATCCCGTTGAATGCCTTCCCCGTCCCGGGTGCTTTGCTCACGCACCGAACGACACTATTAAGCTGGAGCGCACGCCTTTGTCAAAGGTCCCACGCCGCTGCTGCCGTCGAACCGTTAATCCCGTCGTACCGCTGCCGCTGTATCGGTTAACCGGTGACGTAATTTGGAGGCGCGGAGGGACGTTATTATATATTAAATCGAATAGTTCATAAACGTGGCGACGGGGGAAGCCGGTAGAAGCACATTTCGGAATTACCAGCGTCCAAAAATAAAATGTTCACCCGTACGGTCTTATTGTTCTCTATCTATCATTGTGGTTATTATTATTCTCAGAACGTTGAATATCAAACGATCTCGACCTGCCTTTCGCACAGTTACCGTCATACCGAACAATACGTCGTCGTACTCGTAAACCTAACCGTTGTCGGCCGACCACACAACAACCATTCGGACGGGTGGCGGTGTCGATCGGTGCTTGCCTAGCGCGGGACCGCACGACCGATACAACTGCGACCGTCGTCGCCGGCACGACAACATCAATCGTTAGTTATTAATCGTACGCCGGACCGTCGCGGTGCCTGCGCCTGCAGCCATTACCGGCGCACGTCTAGTCGGCACGGTCGCGGTGCGCCGCACACGTAGCGTGCGGCACTCGGCGACGGTGGCGGTGGCGGCGGCCGATTTTCCCTGGGAGCGCGGCGGCGGCGTCGGCGACGGCCAGTAGTGGTACCGTAGACGTCAGTATCGCGATCGGCCGGAGGGACGTCCCCCGCCGTCAACACACATCGCTGCGTCATTCTGCGCCGTCAGGTGTGCATCGCGCCGCGCTCTCCGTGTTTTCGAGACATCAACAAGTGTCGTCGTCGTCGTCGTCGTCGTCGTCGCAACGGTCGGGTGTGTGACGGAAGAATTAAAATTTAATATAACAAAAAAGTGCCGTGTAAACCGATCGTGACCATCGCACCAGCAAAACATAACCAACGCGGCCGGTCGTTCGTTTGCTGTGCACTCGTTGTGAGTACATTTCTTCGTTCTGCACGATTTATAATGTATGTTATCTTTCCTCCTCCACAATCCACCATCTGCCCGTTGAAAACACGATGTGATAGCGATTTCCTATTATTTTTTAAAACGCGCGACACTTTTCGAGATTACACCACTCGTAACCGGACCCGCACGGGAGCACCGGTGAGATGAAATACAATTTTCAACCTCGAGAACCGTCTAAGCTACGCGATAAAAATGTAAACAAGTTTTTTCTCTTCTTCTCACCGCGGTTATCGTCAACAGCTACTAGGCATACGCGTGTATAATATAATGTGGGTTATACTTGTTCTGTCGTGTGCAAACGCGTCGTGTCGTAATTGACTGGGAAAAACGATCGTGGCCCGCCAGAAAGTCGACTTGTACGGATGTGCGCTCACATATCCGCGAGTGTGAACGTAAAATTGATTTTATTCCCATGGGCCAAATGTTTATTATGTGTATCTGATGTTTGTCGAAGCCGCGCGAATAAGGGGTGAGGGATGACTTGCCTCCTTCGCAGTAGATAAAATCGACGAGATTTACATGCGCGCGAGCAACTCTCAATGTCTTTTATGAAATATGCGTCCCTCTCCCATCGCATTGATAGGTACCGACCGTTTCGCCGTAAAAATTCGCAAATAGGACACATATTATTCATATCGGCTTAACGGCGTACCGTCTTTACCGAGTATAATAATATTATTATTCACGCGAATTCCGTACGCAACGTTTGAATCGAGAATATCACGCAGTTATTCATTTCGAATCGACTCGCGTGTAATGCGCACTTTAGCTACGCATAACTGCGCTCGAGACGGCAATCTGATTATTATATTTCCACTGTTGAATGCCAACGTTTTTGGAAATATAACCAGACCTCGAGTTACGTATATTTAAATGCTACGGGTTCGTGGATGACAGCGGATTTAGACGATTTTCGAAGTCACGTTATTACAGATATACGCGGACGTGCATAATTATTATTTATTTATTAAAGTTTTAAACGGGCCAAGCCCAATTACATAATAATAATAATAACAATCGTTCATTACTGGTTAATAATTATAAACAAAAAGCAATAAGGAGAGAGATAAAGAGAGAGAAAAAATATACAATGAATGTACAATATAAATTAATATATATACTTAAAGCTATGAATTAATAAGAAATAAATTACAATACAATTTAAATGAGTTAAAGTTTGGTGAAATGAACATATCGGTATTTAATTTATTTGTAGTTTTCATAATTCTATTGTGAGGATTATTGCTTGCGTAATTAGTTACTTCGGTGTTGAGATAAAAAGTGTTTTTAGTTCGGGAGTTGCGAGATGGGGTGTGGAAGGAGAAACGACATAGAAACTCAGGACAGTCAATAAGTCCTGTAAGGAGTTTATAGGCAAAATACAATTCTAATCGCAAACGACGTTGTTCAAGTGTTTCGATGTTAAGAAACGTTAATAGTGGAGTGTAAGAAGAATGGGGTTCTCTAATTATGGAACATTTATCCGAGAGGAAACGTAAGAACTTGTGTTGAATTTCTTCAATTTTATGTTTATGACCCGATTGGTATGGAGACCATATTATTGAGCCATACTCACAAATAGAACGAACCAAGCTGCAATATACTGACTTCAAAGCAAGTGAATCATCCAAATCAGCACAATTACGATAGATAAAACCAAGGATTTTATTTGACCTGTTAACTATGTTCGTAATATGACAGTCAGATTTGAGTTTGAGATCAAAATAAATACCAAGGTCTTTAATTGGCCCAAAAGTCCGAAGTAATGGTTCACCATTGAGATTATAATCAAAAAAAGAAACTACTCGAGCTCTGGAAAATGTCATTAATTGGCATTTATTAATATTAAGAGTAAAATTATTGTAAGTACACCACTCATAGAGATAATTTAAATCAAGCTGAAGTAAATCAGCTTCACTTTGATTATTAACTGTACGGAAAATCTTTATATCATCGGCAAACATTAATTTAGAGCAATTTTGAAATAGAATGTCATTAATAAAAATAAGGAATAGTATTGGCGCTAAATGGGACCCTTGAGGAACTCCCGATGTAACACGTATTGGAATAGACAAGAATTCTTTGTAAACTACGATTTGCTGACGATTTTCAATAAAGGAGATAATCTAGGATAAAAAAAGAGTTGCAAATACCAATTTGTTTCAATTTTGAAAACAGAATTTGATGGTTAATTTTATTGAATGCCTTAGCAAAGTCGGTGTATATGACGTCAACATTTGATCCACGAGAAAGGGCGTCAGATACAAAATTTCGAAAGTTAAGTAAGTTAGTAATTGTACTTTTATTTCGTCGAAAACCATGTTGATCATCAATTATTACATGATTCAAAACAGGCAAAATCTTATTTGCTACTATCGATTCAAATAATTTAGGTATAAGAGAAAGCAGGGATATTGGACGGTAGTTTGCAATATTTGATAAATCAGAAGAAGACTTAGAAATTGGTCGAATAAAACTAGTTTTCCAATAATCAGGAAAAATGCCGAGAGAGAGTGATAAATTGAATAAGTAATGTAACGGAAAGGAAATCACAAATTTACAGTTCCTTAGGAAAATGTTAGGAATAAAATCGGGACCAGAACTAGAGTTAGAACTTAAGGATCCTAATGAATCAAATACCTCAATTAAATCAATTGAACATGAGTGGAGCGAAGAAGAAAGAACTGGGGATGGAATTTGATGCTTTAAATTAATATTAACGTCATTAACATAATCATAGTTTTCATAGACACTAGAGAAGTAATTAGCAAAAGCATTAATAATGTCATTACTAGTATTAAATTCATCTGAATATAAATGCATACAATTTGGTAAAAAGTTATTTTTGCGTTTACTGTTTATGAATTTCCAAAATTTATTAGAACAGATTTTTAATTTAGTTTGAATTTGAATTATATAATTTTGATAATCTTTTTTTGAGAAAAACTTACATCTCCCACGAAGATTAGAAAAAGAATTGTAATCACTCACCAACCAGAACTCTTAAATATTTTATGGGCAATTTTTTTTTTAAAAATCGTTTCTTTTAATTTTTTACTATACCATGGAGGGTAGTGACACTGCCGTTTAATTATTTTAGGTACAAATATATCAATGATATTATAAATAATAGAATAAAACAAGTCGACAGCTTCATTAATACTAAGATTTTTAAATAGTTTGTTCCAGTCTATCGATGCTAAGCTAAAAGTTATATCAGCGTAATTACACTTAGAAAAATTATACATAGGTACATAAATTATATTCGATTGGTTCACTTATAACTATGGGGATAGAAATTAATAAGCCCGGATGATAAATATCACAAGGGATAAGAGGATTTACTGATTTATTTACAGATAAATTATTTAAATCAGAGAGAACTAAGTCTAATAATGAACCAGTGCTGTTATGAACATTATTAAATTGAGAAAGATTTAGGAAAGATAATTTTGATAAGAATTCTGATTCTAAATTATTTAAGTTCAGCATATTTGGAAAAAATCCAATAGAGGTAGCGTGCCATTGAAGTTTAGGTAAATTGTAGTCACCAACCAATAATACGTTTTTTACATACGGAAAACTTAAAAGTAAACTATTAATGATATCAAAGTGTGCATTGTAAATTACGATATCAGATGGAAAATAAACATTACCTATTATAATATAATTATTGTTTATTTTAATAATGACTAATACGTGTTCAACTGGGATGGTAGGTACAGGTAATAAACGAGAATGAAATTTATTATTAATTGAGAGGAGAACACCCCCACCTCTAGAACGGTTGCTAGTAATCTGATTATGATCGCAACGATAAGTACTATAACCAGATAAACCTAGTTCAGACATATTGATATTTGGAGATAACCAAGTTTCAGATAAGCCGATAAAATCATAGTCAGATAAATATACATTACGTTTAATTTGGTATTGAGTCCACGAACATTTTGATAGTAGAGAAATAAGTTATTGTGAATTGGCCCGTTTGTTAGTTTTTTGAAATGGTTGGAACACCTTTGACAAATTTCATCACTAAGTTGGATTCTCCGGCTGCTTTGCGTTCCTCAAGCTTAAGTCTAGTGATAAGTCATCTTCATTATTTCCATCAGTCTCAGCAGCATTAAAAATAATTAAATTATGTGATCTTGCCTGTCGATCTATAACTTCAGATATTACAGTCTCGTCTGCGGGAGAGTTAGAAGCGTTAGTACTAGATAATTGATTTTCTAGTAGGGTGACTCTATTTTCGAGCACTGAAGTACGAGCACCTAAGTCCCGCAGTTGACCAGAAACATCGTCTAGCTTCTTATTCAGTGATAAAAACGAAGATTCATGTTTAGAAACTGATTTTTTAATATCTTTTACTGCCAAAAGTATGTCATTAATTTTAGATATATAATCAGTGTCTAAAACTGGTTGCGTAGTCGGAGATTTTCTGGCTCCAAGTCTTGTACACTCACAAATAGTGCACAGCCACGAAGCACAACGAGTTTTAAGATTATTGCCGGTTAAACCAGAGATAGACGAGCAAGCGATATGGAAAGGTTTAAAGCAAATTGATCATTCAACACAGTCGGTATCACCCAACACAGAATTACACTTTGAACAATTTATATTATAAATTATAAGACAACGGAGCGGAAAGTAAAACTGTAAACGACCAGTCCGAACGAATGTCAGATTACAACTGACATTATTATTATTTTATATTATCATATTTATTATTATTATTATTATTATCTTAACAATCCAATAAAGTATATAATATTCCGGTAATCGGGTGCTGTGAACATTTATATTATAAGCTATTGCTGAATAATAATGGTATACAATATATCTGGACCGTTTTGAATTGGATATGTGTTTACCGTATTTTTATAGAAAGTTAATTGAAAATTATCCGTTCAATGCAATGCGATGAATTAATATTCCAGTTAATCTATTAATTGGAAATAGTTTTGATTGTTCATTTTTTTAAATTATGAATATGTAAAAATGCATTTATTTAATACAAAACAGTACTATGAATGTAGCCGGTCTGTACTCGTATATTAAGATTTTATCGACCGATATTTTATGTATTTAATAATGCATATCCATGTGCTTGAAAACAAAAATATATTTATACATTTTTATTTAATATGAATATTATACTATATATTATACTATCATAAAATAAAAATTAAAATAAAAGTTATGAATACATTTCAAAAAAATCAAAGTCTTTATACGTTTTGTTTTTAATACGGTTTAATGTTCTTTGATTATATATTTTTCCATTGTTGCGTGCCGTTAGTTCAATAATTCTGACGTTAGGAATTGTATTAGGATATTTCAAATAATTACTCAATTTAAGTTAAACTTATTTCTTAAAATATTCCAAGAACAAAACATTTAATTTATCTAGAAAATTTAACTAGCGTGAAGGTGCGTGATACGATCTGACTATAACACATTTGATAATTGATCTGTTTGGGACACTATTTATTTTACATTTAAGCAAGTTAGATGTGACAAACAAATTATTATTTTGATTGAATGGTTTCTATAAACTTATATATAAAAATTTATTAAAACCACTTAAACCTTAAAAAATACTTAAAATGAATTTACAGTTTATTATAAAATATCTAGTATTATAAAAATATTAGTTTAATTATATTGGTATACGATTCCATTTTATCTCTAAAATTGATCGAATGTGATCGAAACTAATTAAATAATGTAAAAGTATTGAAAAAAAAGTCAAATTTTTCGAATATTAATCAGTAATAACAAACGAGACTCCTAGGATTATGCTATAGGATTACATTGTTAAAAAAAATAGAGCAATATAATATACATGATAGTAAATATTTTACATTTTGATAATATTTAAAATTTTAAATACATTTATAACAATAACTTTAATTTGTATTGTCTATGAAAAATTGGAATTGAATAAAAATTGAAAAGAAATAAATAATTTTGAAAAATTTGAAATTATATTTTTTAACACTTTAATGTTATGAAAATGGTAGGATAAAATGAAATATTAAAGAATAATGAAAATTTAATTATCGTAATTAGCAATAAATAAATAATGTATGTTAAGAATATTAATTTTATATTGTATTATAAAATTTAAATTTTTTATTGAGCTGTATGTTGAGATTAACTAATTTAATTTTAGTAAGATTAGAAAAAATACAATTATATTATAAGTTATTATATCAGACATTAAATAAGATATGGTTATTATGACAAGTGAATGGAGAAATTAAAAAAAAAAAAAATTGTTAGTATAATCATAGCAATAAATATCGGATCATTTTTTAAATCTAGAGACTATCAGCTCCAATTCCGTTTACCATTTATCTGCGTCCATGTTTCCATTATGCAGTTATAATGCATCAAACCCCTCCATCAAATACAATTAGTATTATGCAGCTACTGCGTTTCAACTATAATACTACATCAAATGTGCGATAAGTGCATGCATCCCCTCCTCATATTGGTAACAGAATTGTCCATTTCACATTTATGTGTACTACAGCTGATAAAATGTGTAATCTTCTTCGGTCCTAATTCCATTTCTGACCTCCATTGAGGAGTTCATTTAAAAAATTTAGATTAGGGAGCTTTACATAACCGGATAATCGACGATTAAGACGCATTTCGGGAGTCATAAAAGTTCACCCATCGTTCCTAATATTACAAAGGATCTTCATTGATTTCAATTTTTTGTGTAGTCATATGAAATGTCTGTATAGTGGATCAAAGTGTCTAATAAAGTGAAAGTGTATACACAGGACAGTGAATGCTACAATATGTGGTGACGAAGCATTTTTTCAATATTTTAAAGGGTATTTTTTTTTTTTTTACCGTACTAGATGTTTTGTTCGTGGGTTGATCTTATATTAATAATTAATAATATACAATTAGATATATTAAAATATGGATATCAATAATATAATACAGCATATTTTATATATAAATATTACTATTTTGTAAGATATTTTATGATACTTACTATTTAATGTGAATAAAAACCACAGTATTTTATATAACGTTAATGATTTTGTTACTGTTTAAATAATAATCATAATCTATAAATTTACAAACAAAAAATGAAAATAAATTATGTTCAATTCAATGTTTATTGTCTCACAAGAATTTACCTTTATTCATCCGCCTAAATAACATAATCAGCTTATTTCCTTTTCACCCAACGGATTTTTGACTATTTAAAACTAACTGTTGACAATAATAATAAATATTTGAGTATAATTTAGCGTTACTCAGATAATACAAATGGAAATCAATTAGGTAATTACTTCTAAATAATTGTAAAATATTTTTTTATTATATATAAATTATTTTATTTATTGAAATTAATTAAATTATATACATTTTTTTCATCAAAAAATGTTTTAATTTTATATAGCTAAATTTGAATTTGATTACGTATAATGTTTAGTAAATTTAATATTTGTATTTTAAGTTAACTATAAACATCATGCACTTAAAATATAAATTTCTGTAAATAGATATTTTAAATAATAATTTTTACTAATGTCTGTCGTAACAATTGGGAATTTCGTCCATTGTTTTTACTGTGTATAAAGTGTTATATTTATATATTTTCTTGACAAAAAATAATGATACTGAGTATGTTGTATACTAAGGTTGAAAAAATTATATGATAATTGTTATATTAGATCCGTAATTTAAGTTTGTGGGTATTAGTAGTGCGTATTACGAGAATAAACAAATTATATCCACAATTTCTGCTATAGATACTTTTTTATGGTCATATAATATATAATATACCAGTCTAATGTAGGTTATTTGTCATGTCACTTAATTTTTGTATTCAAAATAACACCTATTCTATTTTTTTTTTTTTTTTTTGTATACATAGATTGATTTGTAATTATTTATTTTTAATGAAAAGAAAACCTTAAATGAGAGGGGCATTGTAAAAATGTATACTTTAAAAAAAAAAAAAGAAATGCGTGAATAGACTTTTAACTACTTTAGTCTTAGCTCTATACCCCAAATCTAAGTATATACTATGTCATATACATTTATATTTGCATATTTATGAATTATTTTTTTAAATACAAAGGAATTGTTGGTTTACTTTGTTTTAAAATGAAAAAATGTTATCCGTTTAATATAATCATTTACCATAGTAATTAAGATACACCATATTGTTTTAAAAAAAATATTTATTTTGTAATTTACTAGTTATAACTCATCAATCTAATATAGAAATATAAATTATATTAAATAAATACATATGTATTCATAGGCGGCTCTACGGGGTGTGCCTTGGCACACCCTAATGTGAAGAATGTGTAAAAAAAAAAATTGAATAACTACAGTTAAGAATATATGTCCATACACATTAATTAAATTTTAGTTTTTTGTAAGTAATACTGCACAAGGGCGTATTTGAGGGGGTGGGCGAAGGGGTTATTCGCCCCCCCCATGTCACGTATTTTTTTTGAATATAATACATTGATATTTCAAAAATATATTTTATTTTACATTCTTAATTATTTAATTAAGAATATAAATTACTAGTCTATCATTATAGCATGATAATACGTTCAATAATATAATATGCCAATTAGGTCACGGGTATCAATTTTTATTTATCTTTTTATAACATAACATTTTTGGTTATTGAACAATTAGTGGTATTATCTTCCACGGATATTGCTACGGTTATAGACATTTACAACCATAACCGAGGTATTTATAAGATAATGTAAAGTAGTTTAAAGTAACACTTTTTTTTACCACATATTTACTAGTTAGTCATTTTTTAGTGCACAAATGTATACATATTTGTGTATTTT